GAAATAACGAAGGCCAAGTGCCTGTAACTGTTAAAAGAGAGGTTGAACTAATTAGGTGTCATCAAGCTGAAGTCAAGCCGACTGGAAGAGTTGATGATGGTGAAGTGGAACCAAATATAGATATCAAAGCAGAGTAGGAGAAAGACCAGGATTTGGGGCCAATGATTGATTTTCTAAAAGCGAGTGTTGTGCGCCCTGCTTGGGAGAAGGTGTCTAGTCTAAGCCCCGTGACAAAGCACTATTGGGCACAATGGGACCAGTTGAAGCTTGAAAATGGTATTCTTGGCCGGAGATGTGAAACTACAGATGGGAAAGTGACGACTTGGCAAACAGCTATACCGAGGAAGTTATGGGAAGTTGTGCTGCGTCGGTCCCATGATAATTTAACAGGAGGACATCTCGGAATTAGGAAGACATCGAGTCATCTACGACAAAGATTTTACTGGATAGGTATGAGGCGAGATGTGGAAGAATGGTGCAGGACATGCAGTACATGTAGTCCTAAAAGGGGACCCAAGCATAAGGGATGCCCACCTTATGAAGAGTTGCCTGAGAATGTGTCAGAGTTTGTGAAAGTGTTATCGGAAAGGGTGGATGATATTCACCATCAAGTGCGTTCAAACTAGAAAACGTCTGCTGATTCGATGAAGTTAACTTATGATAAGAGATCTACTGAAGTCAGCTTTGTACCAGGAGACAAGGTATGGTTGTATAATCCCAGGAAGACCAAGGGGAAGTCTCCTAAGCTGTCTTCTCCATGGGAAGGCCCATATGACATAGTGGATCGTCTCTTAGACGCGACTTTCTGGATAAAATTGGATAAAATGTGGTCGGCGAGGTAAGCCAAAAGGGGTGCATGCCAACAGGCTTTGGCGTTATCACGGTCCAGGACATTTCAGTTGGGATGAAGTGGACAACAGAACAAATGACGCTGCTGAAGACGTGCCACCTGAAGAAGCCACCGTCGAAGAAGAAACTCTACTCAGTTTTGAGAAGGGAAATGGTGAAGCACTTGATGAAGTTACTACCACTGATGTGACTGTTACTGACGATAGGACATTTCCTGATGATGCAGATGAACCCCACGTGAAGCAGAAGCCAACGAGACAGAGACCAGTACGGAAGAAGATACGTCCCGTAACATTAAGAGACTTTGTTGAATTGTAATTTTGCGATTGTATTTCTGTACATTTAATTAAGTTATTGTTAATTGTTATTGGTTTATTGTATGTGGTTATTGTTCGGGACGAACAATATTAAGGAGAGGGCAGTGTTGCGTCAGCGAGGTCACGTGACTAGTGTTACACCACGTTTCTAGAAATATCTTGTTCCTTCGTGAATGCCCTAGCATTTACTAGATATAGGGTAGTCTGGTGTACATAAGATTGTCACGGCGTGACGTGACAATATGTGTGTAGACAGTGAGTAATTGATCTGCAGTCAGAGAGTATTGTTGAAGTTAACGTTTGTTTTAGCGCGATTGTTGAAATTAAGTGTATCGTAAAGTTATATTCGGAAAGAATAAACTAGTTTTATTAAGAAAGGACTTGTGTCGCTAAAGTTTCGTCGGAACGAAGTTACGGAAAATTAATTAACAAACGGAGACGTAACAAATTGGTGTCAGAAGTGGAACGAAAAAAAAATGGAAACAAGAGGCGGGAAATCAAACTACAGCTTAGCAGATTTGATGGCAGCAATACAAGAGCAGCAAAAGAAACAAGAAGAGAGACAACAGCAGTTGCAAGAAAACCTGCAACAGTGGCAGCTCGAACAACAAAAATAAGAAGAGAGATTACAACAGTTGTTAGAGGAAAAAGAAAAGAAACAAGAAGAAAGATTACAGCAGTGGCAAGAAAACCTACAACAATGGCAGCTCGAACAGCAAAATAAACAAGAGAGATTACAGCAGTTGTTGGAGGAAAAAGAAAAGATACAAGAAGAGAGATTACAGTAGTTGTTGGAGGAGAAAGAAAAGAAACAAGAAGAGAGATTACAGCAGTTGTTGGAGGAGAAAGAAAATAAACAAGAAGAGAAATTACAGCAGTTGTTGGGGGAGAAAGAAAATAAACAAGAAGAACGAGAAAAGAAACAAGAAGAGAGACTACAGCAGTGGCAACTGGAACAAGAAGTACAAATGGAAAACATTAATAAATTTAAAAGCGAATGAGATACGTTAAAGGACGATCTATTGTCTTTTACACAAGGAGGATACATTGACCATCGACTTAATCAGCCCCAGACAATGGAAAGCTCCTTACAGAGCCCGCAGCTAAACCCTAATGCAGACGTATTCGGTCCCGTTAGAAGTCACATCCTGATATGAATGTTAGTAATAGGAGTGATCCAGTGCGAAGGAAGCCACAGGAATATGATGGGAAAGCACCGTGGGAAG